AACTAAAAGCACTAATACTGAAAAGTTTCCTACTTACTTTGATAAAGGGTTAAGGTTTACATTTTAATGTGCTGTTAATACTCACGTTTTTCAAAAAATCAACTTCATGTTTGTTTGTTCATCATTTTCAAAATGAAATTAAAGCCTTTGGAAATTTTTTAAAAATGATTTCATTCCTCATGTAGGACCTAAGCTAGTTGTTCTTTACTTTTGGCCTGTCCACATCCACTGAACCCCAGCTGGGTATCAAGTCCTGGGGGGTGCCACTTCCCCAAGACTCCCTCGCAGAGAAGCAGCAGAACCCAGGACAGCTAGGAAATCAACTCTGCCTTCAGGTGGAACTTGAACTTGCCACTTACGGACAGGGCGACTGAGAGAAAGAAGGTAAACTCTGTAGGCCTCAGTTTTGCCATCTGTAAGAGGTACTTGGTGCCTGCCTGAGACAGGATGTGTAGGAAGCATTCAGCACAGTGCCTGGCGTGCGGGGAGCACCAGGGAGTAAGGAGCCACGGCACGGGCCTTGGTCATTTCTACCCTCTGGTATGGTCTCAAAAAGGTCACTGCCTTCAACCATCCAATGACACAGGTGCCGTCAAAGGCGGTGTTTCACACAAGTCCTCCCGCATCCTCAGCGCACCAGTGAACCAATATTGCCAGAGGACAAAGCAAGGCTTGGAAAAATCACATGATGAGCCCAACAGTACACAGCTAGGAAGAGAAAAGGCAAAGGAGCAGTGTCCAAAGATCCCAGCCGTAGCCAAGGAGAGGAGGCCTTGGCTCATGCAGTGCCCCAGGGAGAGGGGCCTAGGCCAGGCCCACCAAGACCGTAGTCCCCAGCAGTGGAAGGAGCTGTGAGAATCTCCAGGACTGCAAAGAGAGGACCTCATCCCCCTCCCCACCAGGCCTTGAGGTCACATTTTGTCTCCAAGAGGGAGCAGAGCACCTCTTCCCCACTGTCCTCAGAAGAGTGGGCCGGGTGTGGTGGCTCACGCCTGTAATCCTAACACTTTGGGAGGCCAAGGCGAGAGGCCTGCTTGAGTCCAGGAATTCAAGGCCAGCCTAGGCAACACAGCCTCCATCTCTACAAAAAATTTAAACATTAGCCAGGTATGGCAGCATGCCTGTAGTCCCAGCTACTCTGGAGGCTGAAGCGGGAGGGATGCTTAAGCCTGGGAGGTTGAGGCTGCAGTGAGCCATGATCACATCACTGCACTCCAGCCTGTGTAACAGAGTGAGACCCTGTCTCCAAAAATACCTCTCCCTCCCTTGCTCCATCCTGGCCCAATAGCAAGCACTCTGCTAATCTCAGCTCACATAGTGGGGCTCATGGTGAAGCCCAGGCCATAGCAGGAGCTCAAGCAGCAGAGATGCTGAAAATCTCTGGCATTGTGGGGCGTTGTACCTGAGACCCTGAGGGCTCTTCCCACTGCCTCACCGAGATGCCAGCTTTAGGATTCCCTTGGGGCCTTGCATGCTATGGTGGGCGGGCAGTGGTTGAGGAGGTAAATGCCCTTAGGCTGCACTCGCTATGCTGCGCCTGAATTTGCCCAGAAACTAGGGCGCCTCATCGGTTCTGTGTTCAAAAAAATCCCGGGATGGTAACTCAAAGCAAAATGTGTATTAAAAACTCCCTAACTGGTGCTCAGGGATGCATGTTGCCCTCTGCACGCCCTTGTCCACACTTCTGTTATACCAGGGGCTCTGTGTGACTTTGAGCAAATTTCCATCCCTGTGTGTGCCCCACTTTCCTTTATAGAACCGGGATGACAGTGCATCCCTTACATGGGTCATAGTGAGGATTAAACCAGGGAAGGAGCGAAGGGCTTGGCACAGGGCTTGGCACAGCTTTCAATGAAAGCTGACTTTCTGACTCCTGTGTAATGTCGCAGCAAACAGAGCAAAAATGTAAGGCAAAAGATACTGTGGTAGGTGGCCAAAGGCTGGGCAACTGAATCCTCTACCCAGAAGCCCACACATGCCCTGGATCCATGCATCCTTTGACAGCATGCACTGGGCTAGCCAGGGCCAAGCCTCACACTGGGAGCTGGGGACAGAGACTAACGAGCCCTTGCCACTGCCTCCAGGAAGCTCCCAGACCTGTGGGAGGGACATCTACTCAGTGGGGTCAGCGGCCTTGACTTAAGGCCCCAGTGGGCAGAACTCCTAACCCAGGCTGAGGCTGAGGCCTCGTGTCCTGAAGAAGCCATAGCTGGAAATAAGTCTGAAAGGACAATAGGTGAAGCTGGGGGAGTCTAGGCAGAGGGCTCTCCACGCACAAAAGTGCAGAAAGGAAAGAAACTACAGGCAGGGGCGCCCAAAGACGACTCGATGGAGTTTGCGGTCGCATAGCCCAACCTAGAGGGAAATCTCGAGTCTCTGGGACGCGCTTCAAGCTCGCCGCTGCAGAAACCTATTCCTCCAGCCCAGGAAGCAGAGGTGTAGCGACTGGCCCACGAGCTCCTCCGGGAAGGTCGGTCGCTAGGCAACAGGCCTGGGCGCGGAGTGGGGGGCGGAGGGGGTATCCACAACTGCTGCTGTCGCGCCTTCTCCCGGCGGCGTCCTGCCAGTTCACCCCATGTCAGGGAATCCCGGCTGGTAGCCTTCCAGAACATTTTCCTGGCTGTCCCTGATGAAGAGTGCTGCCCCTGGGGTGCCAGTCTCTCGGTTTTTCATTCTTTTCTGCCTGGACCTGGACGACACCACATCCTCCAGGGCCTGGGCTGGGCCAGCCAGCGAGCGAGACGCGGGAGAGGCTGGAGAAGCCAGCAGGTAGGTTCTTATTATTTTTAATTTATTTTAAGACAGAGTCTCACTCTGTTACCCACACTGGAGTGCAGTGGCATGATCTCGGCTCACTGCAGCCTCCACCTTCCAGGTTCAAGTGACTCTCCTGCCTCAGCCTCCCCAGTAGCTGGGAGTACCGTTGTGCGCCACCACACCCGGCTAATTTTTGTATTTTTAGTAGAGATAGGGTCTTGCCATGTTGGCCAGGCTGGTCTTGAACTCCTGACCTCAAGTGATCCGCCCACCTCAGCCTCCCAAAGTGCTGGGATTACAGGCATGAGCCACTGCGCCAGGCCAGAAGGAACAGGAGGGAGCCACGGAAGGTTTGTGTGCAGAGCAGCAACATGAGCAGACCTGGCGTTTCAGTGCTCATGCTGTTGCTGCTGGAGGCCTGCCTGGAGGAGCTGGGCATTCTGGGAGCATGGCTTGGGCTGGCCAGAAAGGCTACAGGGAGCAGGGTCTACCACCTACCAGGGGAAGTAACTGTGGTGAGCCAAGGGGAGCAGCAAAGGGCAGGCTGGGTGCTTACAATTTGGGGTTCATACTGGGGGGAAGGGAGGAAGGCAGGCCTCCCATCCTGAAAACCAGTAAGCCAGGGGACAGCACTGAGACAAGCCCCTGGCCCCATTTGGTCTTTTCACCCCAACAGGTGCCTCTGAGGCTCCAGGAAAGATGCTGACCAATTTCTGGAGATTCGTCAGCTCCCAGGCCTACAAGAGAAATGAGAAATCCTCCCATCCTGGAGTCCTGTGGGCATGAACCCCTCCAACAGGACATTACTATTCTCTGAAGGCCAAAGCTTCCCGTCTCCCCACAAGCTAACTAAACATCCCATTACCTTGCATTGGTCTGGAATGGTTGTGGTGTCTATGTGGCCACAGAGACTGTTTCAAACTTCTCTGTGTGTGCTGATCAGACAGGAAAACAGCTTTATGTAAGTAATGCAACGTGATTGGAAAGTCTTTCAAAATGTGGAGTCTAAGATAAAACTTCAAGTATTATGAAAAAGTAGGGTTACCTATCCAGCCCCACCCTGCTGTACTGGCAGGTCAGGAGTTCGGTTAGGGATGGTGACTGACGTTAAGTGGAACCAGAAGGCATGTCTTCTCCCACCCTCTCAGGGTCCTGCAGCACTGTGGCCCCAGGGGGAAGACCTGCACTGGCATTAAGTGATAGCTTCAGCCCCCAAGCCAGGCTAGTCCCAAATCATTGCATCATCCTGTCCAGGCTGACCTGCAGGCCTCAGCATGTCCAGTGTGCCCTGCTGAAAGCACTCTTGTGCCTGTAAAGTACTAACTGAAAAATTCCCATGACAGTGCCTGCCTCCAGTGCCTTCCAGCAGAGCCCAGGCCCTGGGCCCCAGCCATCACACTGACATAAGAGAATAATTAGGGTATCACTTCTCAGTGATGCCCCTGCCACCTATCCCAGGACTTAGGAGGATGCCTGGACACCTCTGCCCATAGGCAAAAGAGGAAGTAAAGTTGGCCTGTTCTCTTGGGTGCCAGCCCTTCTCTCGACTAAGAACAGGACACTGCCCTGACCCTGGAATCCTTCACGCCAGGTCCCCATCCTCCTCTGCATCCTTACTGGGAGTACCCATCTGTCTCTTTTCCACCTAATTATTGCCCCTTACGATGTGGTTGAGGCTCTGACTCCTGCAGAAGGCTTTCTCTGATCACTTCCCACAGACTCCCTCCCTCTCTGTTCTAGTGTTAATCCCGTAAGACTCTCTGTCTGTCCCACTAGATGTCATGCTCCTCATGGGCAGAGCTGGGAATTGTCAGGTTCTGAATCTAGTAGGAGACATAGGATGTTTTTTAAATGAAAGTATAAGTGCAACCAAGGTAAGAAGTCCAGGACCCTAAAACAGAATGGGATCAAGTTCTGTTTTTTTAAACGCATGTTCCTGCGCAGGGACTCTGAAAGGAGCTGGAGGAGGGAAACTAAAAGTCATCTTTACATTTTGTGTGTCTGCATCAGATTTCCTTAAAAGGTCTCCACTGCTTAAAAATAACAACAGTAATGATACATAAAGTAGTCTATTAGCCTGGCCCAATCCTCCCACTTGATAAGGTGGGGGGGAGGTAGAACAGGGAGGGCCTTGCCTAAGAGAGTGCATCAAGGCCACCCACAGGCCACAAACCCACGCCCCCCAACCTCCTGCCAACACTGCCTTCCACCAGGATTGAAGAGAGAATAAGCTTCCACGAGGATTTCCATTGCTTATTTTATTTCAGTAGCCAACTGCCCCCAGAGAAGAAACTGCTCATGTCACAGGCGATCAGAGGCACCATTCTATTACCTGGGGACTTCCTCAGGGCTTATCAACAGCCTACTTTTTAAAGTTGGCAATCACTATAAAAACATCAAATAGTCAAACTAATAAATTTTTTAAAACCAGAAACGATGCCCATTATGGCTGAAACTGTATGGAGGGGAAATAAAGTAGCCCCAGCAGCCAGGATGCTTGCTAGTAAAGCCCCTTGGAGGAGGGGCAAGGGGCCGTGGCCTGGAAGACGTGGGAGACAGAGCAGCAAGGCAGGACGCTGCAGAACCTGCTGTCAACGACCCTGGTCCTGGCTGCTGGCTCCAGCCACCTGGATGAACTGCAATGTTGATGTCTGTGGTCCCCCCAGTGCCCTGGAGGACCAGGCAAAGGCAGCAGAAGGCTGAAATAGATGGGGCCTCCTGTGCTGGAGTGGGGCCTGAGGAAATCAAATACTGCCTTAGGGCTTATTCCAATAAATGGCAGTGCAACCCAAGAACAGTTAAATTCATTCCTAAATGGGAGCTTCTCCCAGCCACCCACTCCTCAGAGCCCTAGCCCTCCCCTGGTAATGGCTTCCTCCACATTCCTCTTCAACTGCACAGCACAGGACAGAAAGAAACTTAGAAATCACTCTCCCTCCTATCTTGAACTCGGAATCAGTTGCTATCTATGCCTATCAACCTCCTTCCTCCCACGTATCACTGAATGCAGACAAGAAAATCATTGCTGGCGTCCCCAGTGCCCCTCTCTCCTGGCCGGAGGGCAGGCCTGGGGCCTATTTGGACTGCTCCTGAGACGATGGCTGGCTGGGCTCATCCGGCGGCACCTCTGCATCCTGGTCATCTGTGAAGGACAAAGAAGGGGGCTGGATTTAGAAAGAGGGCAAACTACAACTACCTATTTACAGATGAAGATTTTCTTTCTTTCTTTTTTTTTGAAACAGAGTCTCACTCTGTTGTCCAGGCTGGAGTGCAGTGGCACAATCTTGGCTCACTACAGCCTCTGCCACCCAGGTTCAAGCGAATTCTGCCTCAGCTTCCCAAGTACTGGGATTACAGGTGTCCGGCACCACGCCCAGCTAATTTTTTTGTATTTTTAGTAGAGATGGGGTTTCCCCACGGTGGCCAGGCTGGTCTTGCACTGACATCAGGTGATACGCCCACCTCGGCCTCCCCAAAGTGCTGGGATTACAGGTGTGAGCCACTGTGCCCAGCCCAGATACAGATTTTCCATAAGCCTTTCTTGTCATTCCCAGCCCCAGGGGATAATAAATTTTCTTGAACTTGTTAGGCATCAGGAACCTGGAATCTTAGCCTTGGCTATGTGATTCAGATTCAAGTTCCAGGTCTCACGCTACCCTTCACAAGCTGGGAGGAATCAGCAAGATACTTCACAGCTGAACCTCTGCTTCCCCTTCTGTAAAACGAGATGTATCCACCTTGCAGGGGCAGCATGGGGACCAAGTGAAACAGACAGCCATAGGCCACCTTCACCAATGCCTTCATCACTCCAGGTTCTGTTTAATCCTCAGAATCCTCATGAGATAGGTACCATTATTAGTCTGCTTTTACATATGATGAAACTGGAGCACAAAAGGGTGAATAAGCTTGCCCAAGTTACAGAGCTGGGCAAGTACTAGAGCCAGGCCTCATACCCAGGCCACTCAGCACTGGGGCCAGTGGCTTTCAGCCATATAACTGTACCACTCCAGCTACTGGATCTAGGCGCTGCACACACAGGAAGTGTGTAACAGGCCTGTTTCCTCTTCAGCGAAGTGGGGATACCACCAGACTCCCCCAGCTCATAAGATGATCTGACAGTCACTTTAAAGGCCTAGTTGAGTTTGTCAGTTCTTTCCAAATCACAGGAGCCCCAGGGGAAGACTGAAAGGAAAAAAGTCCTAGAAGCTTGAAAGCTCCAAGGGCCCTCAAAAGAAAACCCAAAACATTTTCACACCCAAAAGTTTCCTCGACCTTCACGGTAAGCTAGTAAAGGGACCCCTTTTACAGTTGAAAAGCCTCAGTGCCTGGGATCACCCAGTGCCCCAGTGGCAGAACTTGTGAAGGACAGATTCTCTAGCTCCTGGTCTGGCTCCCTCAGAGTGGCCTGGGGCAGAGGCGTAGCCCTACCACACTGGCTCCTGCCACTGCTCCAGGCTCTGCATCTGCTACCCAGTCCTAGCTGGAAAGGCCTGGCACCTCTGGTCTTCCAAACGTACCATATGCCTGCTATCCTCCACAGCTCTGCCCACAGAGCCAACAAGGTGAGTGAACAGGCACTGGATGGACTGGGAGCTAGACTGAGAACTCTGTTCAAATCCCAGCTCTGCCATGTAAACTTACAAGAACTGCTGGCGGCCTGGTTTCCTCACCGGGAATCCCATTCCCACCTCCCTTAGATCTGTGCTTATGGGGACTGGAGAAGGGGTTAAGAAAGAGCTCATCCTAGGGCTCAGCGTCTTTTAAGTTCCATGTCCCTTCTTTCCACACCTAATCTCTCTTCAGATTAGGTACCTCTTCCTCCAGAAAGTCTCCCTGGCTCTCCTGGAAGCTCACTCACCAGTGTTCTCTTTGTCGGTATCAATCAGGACGGTCAGTGAGAAAGATGATGGAGGTGGTGGTGGTGGTGGCGGGGGGAGGAAATGGAGGGCAGAGAGGTATCCTGGTGGGAGGAACTGTGGTTGCGGTGGAAGGGGAGGCAGTGGTGGCGGTGGCGGGTAGTAGCTTGGCTGGAAGTCTCCCACTGGTTCCGATGCCTGCACAGCACACACAGCAGAGAGGGGAGAGGGTTAGCCAGATGGGCTGACCAAACATAGCTTTCACCCCTGAAGTTGCGGACTCCTGATGGATTAGATGCACAGCTCCAAACACACAGGCACAGGCATTTGGAAGGAGGCATTGGCATTCAACAAACACCTGCCAAATTATTGAAGGCAAGAAGCAACACAGGCAACCGCAGATAAGCATGGGAACAGCTGAGTGGTCAGAGTGACTGAGCCCTTCTGTATGTGCCAGGGGGATTGTGCTGGGGTGCTCACGAACCTAGGAGGGGGTTCTATTACTAGCCTTGTAACGATGAAAAACAGGTTCAGTGAGATGAAGCTACGGGCCCAGGGCCCCAGAGCTGCTTTGTGGTAAGGGCAGAACTGGATCCCAAGTTGGCTGACTCCACAGCCCACTCAGCTGATTCGGCGGCACTGCTCTGCACTGGGGAAGGGTCTGAATGCATCCCAACCCCACAGGACCCCCTGTCTGGCACGTGTGGTGACTTAAACTCAAGTGCCAGGGGGCCTTTGGGAGAAGAAATTGGCAATATGGGTGTAGTGGAGCTGTTTCTGAGGCAAGATATACTGGTGACTTCAGACAAGTGGCCTCACTGACCAACACTTGCTGCTTCTCTTCCTTCTTCAAGGGATGGACTCCAACCCCTTACCACAGCACAGGGCTCCATCACAGGATCTGGAGGGGAATGACTGCACAGCTCTGAGCTTAACTGAGAAAGACACGAACGTCCTAAGAAATAATACTGACTTTTGTATGTAGCTCCTGTCATTTACTTTTCAATGCTTCAGAGCAACGCTTCCTGAGCTGAGTTTCAGGGATCCCTGGTGTCCTACAAGATATTTCTTAGTATTCTTAAAAGTGTTATTTGTTAAGTGAGTTTGAGGAACCCCACATAGTACTCCCTACATTAGTGGGTCACACAAAAGTATATTAAAGGCTTAGAAGAAGCTGTAAAAATCTCCTTAGATTAACCCAGCATTTCCTAACTTCCTTCAACCACCAGGAAGGGGAGAAAGCCCACTTTTAAGCACCTACTATGTGCCAGACCCTGAGCTAGGTAGTTCACATGCATCACCTTATTTATTCTACTCAGGAGCCCTATGAAATAGGTCTTCCTCCCCCATTTTACAGACCAAGACCAAGACCGAGTGAGGCCCTCAGAGGTCAGGTAACTGCCACAGAGCACGCGGTTGGGACACGATGGAAGACGAGGATTGGACCCTAGGTCTGTCCACCTCCAGGGCCTGTGCTGTCCTGTGAATAGGAGAGCAGAAGAAGCCAAGCAGCAGCAGGTGGGGCAGGGACAAGAACAAGGAGGAGGACGCTGCTCTGGGGAGCACCTCCATGCCTCGGCAGGGGGCAGCAGGACAAGGATGAAAGTGATTCAGGGGCTCTTGGGCTTGAAACAGCTCACAAATCAATGCCTGATCCTCTCTCCAGACGAGAGAGGGTGACGGGGGATTATTAGTGCTTTAATTCCAAGCTGCCCAGCCAAGCGTTTCCCTGGATCACAGCTCCTGCCTGGGGCCTGTGGTGGCAGCTCGGGCCCAGATAAACCAACTGAGATCACACTCTTAACAAAGGCCGTCTGGCAGGCCTGTCAATCAGAGCCCTGCCCTGGACGCCAGGCTCCAGGCTTCTGCGTGAGCAGACGGAGCATGCTCTACTTGGTCAGAGCCCCACTCTTTGTGTGGAGGCTGGAGATGCCTGGTTCTCCCTGGACAGTGCCCACAGATGTCAGGCAGGCAGCAGTGGTGGTGCAAGTCAAAAGCCAGGTGTGTTCTACCTCTGTATGAGAGAGGGAGGGGCAGTGGGTAGTGCCTGGGCTCCAGAGTCAGGGCAGGCGAGGTACCAGCACGACCTGGTACTGTCACCAATCAGCTGTGTAACTGGAATCCCAGTCTCTCTCTCACCAGTTTTCTGACCCTGGCCAAAGACTTGGCTTCTCTGAGCCTTTTTTCTTAATGCTACAAAGGGGTATAACACCTACCTTGAAGGTTCAGTAGGCGCCCTGGAATTATCAAAGCCAGTGGCTTTCAAACTTTCTTTCCTTGAACCAATGGAAAATTATTTTTACGTACAATTTTACAACATCTAAGACAAGTGGGAGAGATGCTGCTGCCGCCAGGCTGAGGCAGGAGTGAGGACCCGGTGACCTGTGTGTCTGACCTGCCCCGGCACAGCCCGAGCCCCACTGGACGGGCTCCATGCTCTGCGGCTAATGACTTTCATTAGGGAGGAAGGGGGCTTTTAGCCATCCTAGTCTGGAAGGAGCTGGTAACCAAGCCATAAAACCCAATCACACTTGCCTTGTAGTCCACACCACAGGGGTGACCTGAGGTTACACACTCGGTACTCAAAATTCCCAGCTCAGTGAGAACACTAGCTAGTAACTAACTTTTATTAATCTTATAAAAGGATTAAATTTCATTCTCTCAACAGGTATTTCCTAAGGTGCCAGGTGTTTGGGGGAAGGGTTCTGTATTTTTCATCACTCAGCTCAAACGCCACCTCCTCCTGAAAGCCCTCTGCAGTCTCAAGTGTGCTATACCTGTGGGCAGGGAGCCTACCTCTGGTCCTGGCTCTGCCCTAAATTTTGTGGTCCCAGGAAGTGATATTCCCTCTCTGGAGGCCAGCAAAATGAAGGGCCCTTCTAGCATCAGCATGAGTCAAGGCAAGTGTCACCTGGAAAGTCCAGAGCCTTTCAGCCCACAGCCCTGAAATGCACAGGCCACCGTCCAGGCCGAGTGGTGCAGACTGGTCCACACGTGTATGCTCCAGATACACACACTGTACCTGGGCAGTGCCTTGCCTTCCACCAGCATTCGGGGGCTGGCACGGAGTCGGGCACACGGTTTATGACAGTTGGCTTCCTGGGACTGAGGATCCATCAAGGCGGCAGGGGCAGCTGGGAGGAGGAAGAAGCTGGCAAGGAGTGAGGGGGGGGACTCACCAAGCCTCCGCCTTGGTACTGGCTGCGGGACACATGCCGGAAGCCCTGCTGCAGGGGGACGCCAGGAGGGGCGTCCGGGTAGCCCAGCGGGAACGGGCAGTAGGGGTGCATGCTTGAGCCGCCGGGGTACTCAGAGCCCAGCGCACGGTTCGGGTTGATGCTCAGATGGCGCCCTAAAGAAGGCAAGCAAGGGGGTAAGTGTTAGACACCGCTGGGAGAAGATTCCACAGGGAGGCCCAGGGTGGCGGCGCCATCAGCGCTCCGTCCACGCACAGACAGCCCGCCCCGCCCTTCCTTCCGCTGGGCCCTCACTGGGTCTCTATCCTCCAGCCAGCCCCGCTGCTCTGGAGTCCTCCGCAAGGCCACCAAGCCCGCTGTGGGCGGGGGCCGCCTGCAGACCCCACCGCGCCCTCGGCCGGCAGCTCCCGGCTGCCCTGCACGCCGTCAGCCCGCACTCTGCCTCCTCAGTGCCGAGCTCCTCCTCCTCCGGGTCACAGCGAACCCGGCCATGGCCCGAGCTCCGGACACCGATTTGTGTGTCTCTTTGATCAACCTTGTCCCTCCCACAAGGACAAGGTCCTTGAGGGGCAGAAATGTGACCCCCGTCCACCATCACGAATGCCTGCCTCACGGTTCGGCTCGGCCCTGCTTGTCTGTCGAGACGGGACAAAGAAAGGCGGCTTCTCCTAGAATTGTGTCCCCATTAGACGGGGCGTTTCCTGGGGATCTCGATTTTCCTGGATAGCCAGCCGGGAAGGCGGGACGAGCCTGCGAGAGCATCCGGACCAACGCCCTGGCACACAGAGGGCAGGAGTTTGCCCAGCGTGACGGGGCGAGTGGCCCCCGGCCCCCTGCCGCGGCCCAGGCCCGTCCCACCACACGGCCATGCGGGGACACCAGGAAAACGCATCCGCACCGAACCCTGCGGCTTTTAAAGCTTCAAATGTACATGTAACTTGAAACTGTACTTCAACACCATAAGCTCCAAGACGCAGGGAACAATAATTTATGTACAAGGTGAGGCGAGAAAAGGTAACATCTCAACAGACCAACTGTCCTTTCTAGTGGAGTAAACAAACGGTCTCACCTCACCCGCACGTGGGGACAAGGCAGAAACAGTGCGCAGGCGCACTGGGCCACGGCCGGGGAGGGGCCTCCCGACCGCACAGGGAACAGGGAAGGAAAAGTGCGCAGGCGCAGTCGTCCTTGCGCTAACCCGCCAGCAGGAAAATTCTGGAATTCTGGAGGAGGAGCCTCCAGCCCAAGGAAATGGCGGGAAGAGGTGCGCAAGCGCCGTAGGACTGGGCTCCTCGAGGCCTCCCCGCAGAGGAAGCTCTGCTAAGTCGACTGGACGCCATTTTGTTGTTGTATGCTAGAATGGCACAAACTACAACTAAATGTTAAAAGCCCTCTGAACTGCCCATTCCTTTGTTTCTTTTTTCTTTTTTATTTTTGCGAAAAGGTACCCAATCTAAATCCCTGTTCTAAGAAGGGTTTCTCCAAGCAGAATGTCCGCTACCCATGGAAAGCATTCTCCCCACCCTGAATGAACCCCTACACCAGCTGCCCATCCAGGCTGGCCTGGGCTGCCAGCTCCGGGAGCCATCCGCGGTACCAAGGCCACAACTTACCGAAGTCGGCGAACGGGGGGCTGGATATAGGCCGCAGCGGCCTGCGCAGGTCCAGGAGGCCGGGGCAGCCTCTACCTGTGGTCTCCGCCCCGAAAGCGGGTCCCGCAGGGCTGGGCATCGCCACAGCGGCTTGCTCGCTCGGCCCCACGTGGCCGCGCCCACCCAGAACGGGCCGGAAGGCGCTCGGACCGGGGCTCCGGCCCCGCGGGGGCCGCTCGAAGATGCAAGCTGCCACGCGGCCCTCGGGTCCCGGCTCCGCGTCTCCGGAGGCGGTTCCCGGAGGCAGCGGGCGGAGGCCTGGGACGCGGATGGGGCTAGGGGCGGCGGCCGCAGCCCCAGAGGCCTGCTCGGGCCCCGGCACACACTGGGCCGCCTCCTGCTCCTCCTCGGCGGTCTGCCTCTTGAGCACCTTCTGTGCGGCCATGATCTTCTGGCGTTCGGAGATCAGGTAGCACTTCTCGCAGAGGCACTGCTTCCAGCGGCACTTGCCTGCGTGGCCCTTGACAGGCACCAGGAAGCCGTGGTTCCTGCATCTCGAGCACTTGGGGGTTCGCAGCATCTTGTCGGCCATTGGCAGGGTCAGCCTTCGTAGCACAACCGCCACCTCTGAAAGCTGCAGAGCAAGTGGCGCTGGAATGAGCCGCGCCCCACAAGTCCCTGGTTCTGGGGACATTGGATACACTTGTAACAAAGCGGCACGCAGTGTCCCAGGAACTGCAGCAAGAACCTTGCATTTTCACTCCTTTTGGGGGGTGCACAGTTTGGAGAGTTTCTGTGCATTGGGGAATTAGATGCAATGGATTGGATTGAATTGAATAAATTCTGCATGGGATGCTATTGCATGTATGTCATTTAGCTTATCTGAAATCTTAGGCATTTAATTTTACAAACTCTGTTCCCGCCACCGATGGAAGGTATTTTGTAACTTCAGGAAAGGCCGAGTGATATTCAGTGGTCCACATATTTAAAACTCAGGATGAATGTAGCTCTCAGGAAGAAACCCATTCCAGTAGGAAAGCACTATAAGAGGCACACCGCATTTTTCCTCCCCAAACCTTCTGCTTCTGTGGCATTTCTCTGCCCTGCAGAGATGTTTCCAGTATATCCTCAAGAGCTCAGTGCAGTGTGATGGTTGCTCAAGGGTGTGCCCTTACAGTAATTCCCATTTCTTGAGAGTCTTGGTGTAGAAGTGCATTTCTGGGAGATGGCACATTGCTGATGTTGATGCCTTCCAAAGCGACCATAGAGTATTTTAAAGTAAAATAGAATATTCTAGCACTAAGCCTGGCATAGTGACGCCTGCCTGTAGCCCTAGTTACTCCGGAAGTTCGAGACTAGCCTGACCAACGTAGCAAGACCCATTTCCAAAAAAAAATTTTTTTTTTTAATTCTAGCACTAGTTTGAGTCATTGCTTAACCGCATCATGAATTTCGTTATCCTTGTAAAACAACCAAATCTTGGGACATCTAAAAAAGCTAGCACAAACGTCATAGTTTACCCAAGGACATTAAATTATTATTATTATTATTATTATTTTGAGACAGACTCACTCTGTCACCCAGGCTGGAGTGTAGTGGTGTGATCTCAGCTCACTGCAGCTTCCACCTCCCAGGTTCAAGTGATTATCCTTCCTCAGCCTCCCAAGTTGCTGGGATTACAGACACCAGCCACCATGCCCAGCTAATTTTGTATTTTTGGTAGAGACGGGGTTTTGCCATGTTGGCCAGGCTGGTCTTGAACTTCTGATCTCAGGTGATCTGCCCACCTCAGCCTCCCAAAGTACTGGGATTATAGGCATGAGCCACCTCGTCCGGCCATTCAGTCATTCTTTAAAAACAAATTTGTGACACCCTGAGGTCTGCCGCCCCCGTCTGTTCCCCCGACACCAACTGCCTCTCCTCCCCCCCTCCTCCCTTCTTCTTTGTCCTAAAAAAGGAAAAAATGGCCACTAACAAGCTGAAAAGCTTCTAATTAGGATCAGTCGCATTTAAGGAGGTAGTCACGGTTACTAGGTGGCTAAAACTTGTGCATTTTTCATTGCCCTTTCTTTGAATTTCTCTCTTTCTGGTGGTAGAATGGGAGAAGCCCAAGTCTGGTGTCCACTTTGATTTCCTTGAATCTCTGATTGTAGTTGTCCCTTGCATTTCTCACTAGCTGCCTGGGAATATGAAATGGTTGCTATTCGGGGGCTTATTAGACCCTGGAAAGTGAAAAAAAGGTTTGTAAAGTCTTTTTCTGCTCTAAAAAAAAAAAAAAATCCTCATTTTAATAAGAAAATAAATGTTTCCTGTATTGCTTGGCTCTTTAGGAACTTCACTGGTAGCTTTGCATCCATTTAAAGAGGTCTAGGTTTGTTTCTCCTTTGCTCTAACAACCTCTCAGTTAACTAAGTTTTTATTTTAAAAATATGATTAGTGGCTGGTCGCTGTGGCTCATGCCTGTAATCCCAGCACTTCAGGAGGCCAAAGCGGGAAGATGGCTTGAGCCCAGAAGTTCCAGACCAGCCTGGGCAGCATGGTGAAATCCGCCTCTACAAAAAATACAAAAATAGCCAGGCGTGGTGACTTGCACTCCTGTAATCGGGAGGATTGCTTGAGCCGAGAATGTCGAGGCTGCAGTGAGCCATGTGTGTGCCATTGCACTCCAGCCTGGATGACAAAGCAAGCCCCTCTCTAAAAAAAAAAAAAAAAAAAAATGGTTAAAGGACAGACAAGCTCTTTTTCTGAATCTAGCCAACAAAAAATGTATAGTGTTTTCACTGACCTTGTCTTTTGAAAGTGACACTTAAAAATCATAGTTTCAGTACCGCTGTCAAAAAATCTGGGGCATAAGTTGCATTGTTTCATAATACTGCAAATTGTAAGGTCATTTTCTGCGTTGTTAAATTTGAACATCAGGTGACACTGGATAACAAGGCTTAAAAACGAAAACTACTCATTTATATTTCATGCTTGACCACCCAAGCTCTCTTCATTTTCTCATTAATATTAATAATTTAAAGCAAAAATCTTCTTCAAAGCAAGCTATTTGAGTTAACACACTTTAGCCTTGTTAACTACAAAATGCTTTCACAGCTTTTGGGGCAAAATATACCCAAGGTGATGTGAATTTGCATAGTGCTTTGAGAACATTAATAAACAATCATGTATTTTTTTAATCAGTACTCATGTTATAAGATGCAGAAACCCCAGGGTTTACACAGTAAACAAATCTAAGAAGAAAAACACTAGTTTATTTCTCTCTTTCCCCCTAATGTCTCAATTTGTGTAGGTAAATTTCAACCGAGTTTTATTCACGCAAATGGATAGTTTTGTTCTGTTTAGGTTGATGGCTGATTACTTCTTAGACTGCTGCTTTTTTAAAAAAGAGATATATACACACACACACATATATATGTATATATACACACACATTTCTTTATTTTTTTTTTTTTTTTTTTTTTTTGAGACAGGGTCTGGCTTCATAACCCAGGCTGGAGTGCAGTGGTGTGGTCTCTGCTCACTGCTACCTCCACCTCCCTGGCTCAGGTTATCTGCCCACCAAGGCACACATCACCACACCCGGCTAACTCTTGTATTTCTTTTTTAGAAGCAGGGTTTTGCCATGTTGTCCAGTCTGGCCTTGAATTCCTGGACTCAAGTGATCCACTGACCTAGGCCTCCCTAAGTGCTGGGATTACAGGCATAAGCTACTGTCCCTGGCCTTGAATTGTCATTTTAAAAGATAGTGACATGATGTAAAAGCAGAAAACAGGAAGTTTAAAAAGGATGGGAGCAGTTAAATACACAGTGAATGACTTCCTTTCCCACACTTAAACCTTGGGATATTTACATTTAAGAAAGTTGCCAACTTACAATTGCTGAAGAATCACAGTTTGACTAATTAACCACAGTGAAGCTGTTTGGTGGTCAGAATCTGACTTCCAGCTTTTTTTTCCCCAGAGTCCCTAGTTTCCTAATGCTTCTTCTATTTGGTTAATATGATTGCTGCTGGTACAGTTTAATTCATATTCATTTTAAAGAGCCTTGCATTATGCAGTGCACGGGGGTATCATTTATAATCATTAAATATTGCATGCACTAGAATGTTTCCTTGCTGGCAGCACTCAATAGTAAGGAAGGGCTTTGTTTTTTTGCCTACAGCATCTTTCCCCCAGCAGCTATAACCCAGTTATCTGCTAGCTTCCCTTCTTTGAGCTCTCTCCAGAGAGCAATGAGAACTTTATTGAAGATTTCATAGAAGAGGTGGAGGGGAGGGTTTACATGATACATCCTATGGCAGATGCTTTAAAATCCTGCCTTAGCATTTCTGTTCTCTCAGGATCCTCCTCTGGTGAGCCACACCCAGTGGTCTGTCTTCCCACAGACCAGTGCTCTGTCCTCCCACTGGCCAGTACCCAGCCTCTCTAGTTCCTTTCTCCCTTCTCCATTTCTGTCGGCTTCTGTAAGGGCTGTGACTATCTTATTTCCCTTTATGTCTAGCACAAAATTGATATTCAGGAAATACTTGTTGAATGTATGAATGAATTCTCCCTCTCCTGCCAATATCAAAGTTATCTCCTCCCAGTTGGCTTCATCAACTTTCCTCAAACATTGTACAAGTGCTCAGCAAAACACAAAGCCCACAGTGATCAAGGCCACTCTTCTGACCAGCAGAATTGGTAGACTGACTTTGGTCTTGAGCTCACCCCCTCCCCTAATGGCTTAATAATAGCAATAATAATATTTAGCACTTTCTAAGTGTGTATATGTGCCAGAAACTCTTAAGTCCTATATATGTATTAAGTCATATAATCCTACTAACAAGCATCCAAGGTAGGTTACTGTTATTATCACCCCCATTTTATACACGAAAAACTGAGACCAAAGAAGTTTAGAACTTCCCAAGATTTCACAGCCATTAAGTGGTAGAGTCATGATTCAAAGCCAAGAAATTTAATGTCAAAGACTTTGTTATTAACCATATATTTGCTAACCCAAATATTTCTTCTAAACCAAACAGCAATCTCCCCAAGAAAGCTTTGGTGATGAATAGAAATGTCTGTATCATTGTATGCTCTATTACAGTTGGGACAAAGTGGGGTAAAGGGGTTTAGCAACCTGGGGAAATTTCCTAGGTGCCCTGCTTAGCTGCTTTCCTCTATCCATGATTGATATTTATTGAGTGCCAACCACGTGCTAAGCATGAGGCATGCCGAAGTAAGTAAAAAGGCAGGATCCTTGCCTTTAGGTCTACATTCTAGCTGGCAATCCAGACTGTAAACAAGTAATTCCAGAGTAATAAATGGCTTTGGGAGCCCATATGGAATCCTAAACTCCCTTGAGAAATCAAGAAGACTTCCCTGAGGGGCTGAATTTTAAGCTGACGCCTAAGGATTAGTAGCCAGCCACAAAAGCAGAAGTGTGTCCCACATGCTCGGTGGCCTGCAGTGTGGCTGTAGTACAGCAAGGCTGAGACACTGGTGGAAAATGAGGTGGAAAAGTAAGTTGCAGCCAGGTTGTAGAAGGAGTCCTTGAGGGAAATTGACCAAGGAGAAGAGGAAATGACATGGCAGAGCCAGGCCAAACTATAACTTTTGTTATTCTTTCAGAAACCAAAACAATCAGTAATTAGGACTTGTGCAGGTATTGCAGGATTAAAATAAGAGTTGAGTGGGGTTTTCCTTGAGGTGGTTGTTCCAAGTGGGGCACACATTTGAGGCTAGCCATGGCCCAAACCAGCACTGGGCCAGGCAGGGTTGTTCCTGTTAACCCTGGGACGCCATTGACAGTTTCATGTGACCTCTCCTAGGAATCTTAGAGAAGTGAGGCAAAAAACACTAATGGAAGGCAAAGGAGTACGAGAAAAGAAGAGCGTGAGGCAGTTAAACAGACCAACGCTGTTGGAGAAGCTGCGAAAGTAAAGACTGGAACAAGCGATTCTGTGGAGCAGAGGAGAAGTATGCTATCCCGGCAGAGAGGGCATGCTCAAAGTGCTGCTACTGTTTGACCCAATAGCACTGGCCTTTGTTCTGTCTTGTTT